GTAGGATGAAGATAGAATTATTGAGGTAAAATTGCAGTGTGAAGATATTATAAACAATCCTTTGTAGTTACAGTTAATTTTACAACAAATAATCTAAATACTGTAATTAACTAAGGCAAATAACTATAAAATGTTATAAATAATAATAATTTGGAAAAGACTACAAGAGTAATACATTTTTATACTAACTTGTCATATCAAATCAATTATTATTTGGTTACGGGGTAGGAAGTTAGACATAAGATTCACACCTGATTAGGGATGTTACAGCATATTGTACAGATTGTAAAACAGAATTTAGCTGAGGACAGTGAAATAAAATCAGATTGGTCTGATAGGAGCAACCTGAGATAGAAGGAGTCCGAACAACCTGGGTGTTTATCAAAAAACCGAGATAATAGTTCCTGGCGAGAGGGCAATATAACATGACGTGTTCCATCGTTTCACTTATTCCCCTGCCACATGGGCATAGTCTTTGACTGAGGGGAATATTTCGATATCTGCCTTCAGTGATAGCTGTTGGAAGGGCGTTGAATCTGGCCAGGAATAAGGCCCTTCTAAATTGTGGAATCGTTATGGAGGTAAGATATCTAGCTGGTTGGAGAAGGTGTGCAGAATGACCCAAGAAAATGTTCTTAGGTAGAAGTGATAGATCTGATTGTAGCTCTAGATCAATGACCCATTGTTTAAGATTCTCTAGTGCTCATTCGTAGCCCAGCAGGATAATGGCTGCCCCTGAAAAGCCATATAGTTGCAGTTTAGCATGTATTGCCTGGCACCAAGAAGATCGAAAATTATCGGTCATAATCAGGGGGGCTAGGTCGTCTGGGAAGAAGGAGAGCTTAAGCCAGTAGGAGAAAATGTAAATCCAAGCAGAAGTTTCTATTTTTAGTAGGCCAGCTTCATGGCATAGCACCACGTTGGAGACACAGCAAGGAACTTGGAAAATAGATCTTAAAAACTTGGATTGGACTCTCTCAAGAGAAAGGAATGACCTATAAGGGCCAACCTGAGCTCCAAAAAGGAGCTGAGCTCGAATCTTAGCTGAAAAAACTTTTATCGCTGCTGGTATATATTGAGACCCTTTGAAGAAGTAGAAAGATTGTAGAGCTGCTGCTGTTTTTGTGCATTCAGACTGACATAATTGGTATGAAATTTGTGGTTACCTGAGGCATGAAAAACAATCCGCAGGTTTTTAAAAATCTTGACTTGCTCTATTGGATGATTGTTTAACTGCCAAATATGCATCTTAGGGTGCTTGGCAAAAACCACAGTCTTGGTTTTCAAGTAATTAATTTCTAGCCAGTCTTCTCAGCAGCGCTCATCAAGCATACGGAGTGCCCTCTTCAGGCCGCTTATCTTAAAACTAGGCATACCACTGACATATTTTTTCTTGTGTTCTCTGTACATTACTCATACGTTTTGTGTGTGTATGTCTGCAGGCATCCTCTAAATACTTTACAGCTAAGTTGCTTATTAATGGGCCCGGAGAATGCCCTTTCTGTTCTGCATGCCCAACAGAAGGCAGATCTTCTCAGTTAGTTCCTCCACCTTATAGAGAAGTATATGTAATATGTAATTAATAAGTTAATGAAGTGTATGTAAAATACCTTGCTGCAATTCCATAATCAGGTTAAAGCTGTTTTATCCCAACTTGTTTTCAGTCTCAGCTGACTGAATGTGGGCATTTATCTCCGCCTTTCTTTTATGGATAGTTTTTTTATTTTTTTTTTAATTTTTTATTTTTTACAACAAACACAAACAAACAATAACATAAAAAGCAT